AAAGTTTTGAAAATGAAGTCAAACTTCAAGTGAACGCAGCTCTGTTAAGGCGCACTACGAAGAGGTCAACGGCATAAATACATACTTTTTTAAACTGAATTTATTTTTGTAAAGCTACATTATTATCACAGGACTTTAATATTAATTGAAATAATTTAATTTTGTTTGTATTCTAGCCTCTGATTGGTTAATATCCAAAAAGGAACACAAATTATTTATGTATAACCTGGTTTGGTATGGGGACACACCCCCCTGACAACCAGCTGAATCATCTGTATCCATACAATCCTCTCATTTCCAGTCCTCGGGATTCATGGAAAATTCCAGATTTAATGAATGTACGTTTAACAATAATTCGATCTTACCACATGTAAACAACCAACATGGCTGCTAGGCCTATGTATCAGTTTTTACCTCCCCTCGATTCCCATCACTTCCGTTACTTCCGTTACTACGGTTGTATTATTGAGCGGCAAATTTGAACTAATAAAAAGTAACGAAATTTTACACCCATAGTTATTTAATGATTTTAAAATTAAATTATAAGGAATGACTCTAATTCTTGGACAAATTATTCGCGTATAACCTGGTTTGGGTCAGTTTACGCTGTTTTATAATCCGCTTCGCGGATTATAAAGCGTAAACTGACCCAAACCAGGTTATAGGCGAATAATTTGGCCAAGAATTAGAGTCATTCCTAAAATAACATTGTATACGCCGCTCTGTATGGAATTTGGTTTGGTCACGTTATTTGAAAGTCATGTGATAAATGTTTGTAATGTGTACTGTATGTAGGTCATGAACAAATTTCAATATCGAAAGGGCATACCCTGATTAAAATAATAAAAAAGTAATAAATTGTTTCTACATGTCTCGTAGTTTATGGAAAGTGCTTCTGTGTTAAATAGAATTCGCATTTTATTAGTTTAAATTTCAAGTTTTTTAGTTTTGTCGAAATATGTGTGACCTTTACTAAGTATTTTGTGTATTTATGACGTAATGCTCTCGATTTCAAAGTAAAAGAATGTAACCGTTATGTACATTTAAAAAATGGTCAAGATCTATTTAGTGTATACCCATGCGAAAGGCGATTTAATGAAGCACTTTGGCCTGAAACATGCAAACCCTGTATAATAAAACTTGTTAGAATTAATTCAATACATTCTCTCGATAGTTTTTAAATAAAGGCACTAAACAAAGATTTCAGGTTTGTATTAATGGCCTATCTAACATTTGCAAATAATATCCTGTTTAATAATAAAATGCATTTTCACTCTGAAAAAATTACTTGATCCGCCTCTCATTGCACATAAAATGCGTCAAATTTTACGACGATGATGTCATGTCGACAAGTGCATTGTGATCAGTGACTTGTTTATATCTTGCTGTGTGGGATTTAATTAGCGATAAAAATGAATGCAGTGGTAAGTTTTGGTGAAGTTCATTCTTATACAGTTTAAAATCAAATCGCAAATTATTTCATTTTCTGTTATTATGAGGAATTGTTATAAATTTGTTATGTCACAGTAAGCATTTCCCATATAATTTAGGCCCCGCCCCTTTATGCACCTTAAAGCTTAGCAGAGCTCCGAAGGTAACGTTGGAAAAGATCTTTAAACACAGGAAATGCACTTGTCAAATTTGATCACCCTATCATCCCTTATTTAAAAGTTACCACCAATGTTAGACTTTTTGGAAAATTAGGTCAAACTTGAACGTGAAGTTTGCGGCGTAAGTTTGTGGGGTAAAAAGCCATAGCATGTTTTTTTCCATCCTTTCACATACTCTACATCTAGAATATTTGAGAAGGTCTACTTTTTATGTTTTTGTTTATTTAGAATAAGCAACAAAAGCAAGAAATATTTTTATATATACATATCTTTCTACCCAAAGAAAGGAAGCTGTTGCCATGGAATCCTATGTCAATCGAAACCTCAAGGATACTACCGGTATTAAGTTTTCATTTTAAAAGGTAGATATATAATAACCTCATATTATTCTTTTTTTTTTTTTTGTTTTGTTTGAAAATGTTCGTACTCCTAACTTCCAGGTAGGAAAATGATGACAGGGCAATACAATTATTCCCCTGGGATTAAACTTGCTGCTGCAGAAAATCCAGATGCTTATCTTTTCTTTCACCTTAAGATTAATAAACAAATCTATCTGCAAATGATGTTTGTTTCAAAGTTAAAGTCAATCCAGGGAGATGATTGCATTCACTAAAGGCTGACATTTTATATAAGGTATGTTTCAATTTAATTTATATGTACATTTAATAAATATAATTTTTATGATTTTTTTACTGCCTTTTGTAAATAAACGGATACTTTCCATTATTATATCACCGCGCAGAATTGACCGCGTTTTTACGAACTTTTATTTTGAACTTAAATATGTTTTATCAGTTATTTTCATTGAAATAAGTTATGGATCAATTTATTGTTCGACTACGAAATACTGAATTATTTACTTAATTGCATAGTGACACTCTTTGGACAATTGTTGAGGACTACAAAGGGGCAGAGTGTTAACACAATCACTCATTTCTAATACCTTATAAAAACATTCATGTAATTATTTTATTTATCTTTCTTTCATGTCTATCTTATCAAAACTTTTCACAAATTGTAATTTACTCAGCATATGTCATTTTGTCACTCAATTTCCTAATTGTTGTCAAAGAACTCTTAATTTTATATACCAGTATCTGAATTGTATGTGGCAGTTCGGAGGCCTGACGCATTACTGGCCACTTCCGTCTGTATTCCCCGCATGTATTTCTTGAATGTTGAAATTGCTGTTCATCATTAAATTAGATGCTTTTATTAATAAACTCGAAAACTAAATTACCCGTTACTTTGGATTTATAATATGTGATTTCGGGAAGAGCCCTAGGAATACGGCAGAACTTCTTCCGGCCCACAGCGCCTCTCGTTTTTCGCCAACATTCCCTCTTTCCCGATCAACGACATATATTATTTTTTACCCAAACTACGCGGTCATAATTATAGCAGTAAGATATATTTAGCATAAACATTTCTTTAACTTAATTTTTCTAGCAAGCGAGTTAAAAAATCATTATAATTGCAATTATAGAAAAGGGAAAAAAGTATATATTTAAGAAATAAACAACGTTATTCAGTGAATATGGCGTTATGAATAGCAATTGCTCTGCTGGCATATTTCATGATGCGCGCTAGCGCATCATGGAAAATATGCCAACAGAGCTATCGCTATTCATAACGCCATGTTCACTGAATAATCGTTGTTTATTACTTATATTTGCATTTTGTGATGCCACGAATATCAGAGAAATCCTTGCCTGCATAAGGGCACGGGTGCTTGTCTCCAGTGAAGAAAAATATAACAATAAAATTAGTAAACCTGCTAAATAATAATTTATCCACTTTTTCTCCAGTAAAACTTACAAAATAAATGGTATTTGCTTATTAATCACAGTTATCTGGATACAAACCGCACCGTCTTCAAATTCTTAATATTTTGTGACGCGCCATGACGTCATCGTCATCGAAACTCTCTGAGAAAAATTATAAATAACAATATTATGAAAAAGAGAAAGTTTTTACATTGACTTTAAGTTAAAAATGTTTTGTTATGTTTCTTTAAGTTCTTTTTAAGAGTTAAAATCGTTCTTGAAAAAAGATACACTATTACAGAAATTTCGCTTTGTCTGAACGTAAAAAAATCCTTAGCGTGAAGAGTTATCATTCTTTGCTACAATATGCGTAAAAACGAACAAATATATTAAAGATATAGAGCTCTGTTTAATTTGTAGAAAGTTTTATTTTACAATTAAACACGTTGACCAATTTTTTTTTCTGTAAATTAAAAACACCTTGATCAGTAATCTTAATCATTTTAAATTTCCTTTTTCCCGGAGGATTCCATTTAAAACTAAATTTTATTCCTTTTGAACATCATTCCATATACATACGTCTGAATGTGGTGTATAAGTTTAATAGTTTGTACTGCGCCAGTGTAAGAAACTAAATGCACTTGAAGCAGAAGTTGCTTTTATGGTGCTATGAACGCAACTGGTGAGTTCAGGGTGGGGGAAAACAGAGAGTATGCAAATATATTTACATTTGCTGTGTTTTTCTACTAAGCCAACTGTGAAATTGATTTGAATACTATTTTCGTATAATTGTGCGTAGAAATATATACGGAGAAACTCGAGCTAAAGTGACGTCACAATGAGGCTACAGAGACGTTAATAAAAATGTAACGGTATAGGGCAGTGAGAAATACAAACACCGAGTATATTTTTGGTGCTTTATAACATGTAAAATGTAAATATAAGGAATGTTTTTAAGTTAAGTGTGAATTATTGGTGCGTAAATCACACAGACTTGCATGCAGGCATATTTTTCATGAAGCGTTAGCGCGCTTTATAAATATGCCTACGTGACAAGTCTGTGTGATTTACACACCAATAACACACAAAACTTAAAAAAAAACATTAAATAATGGAATACATGAGACTACATTCCATTTGTTAAAGTCTGATTTATAGGTTTAACACAATGTACATATATTAAGTCGTTCATCAGACTTTTACAAGACAAAACAATAAAATAAAAATTCGAATTTGAGGGATGAAAAAGTATTCTAAAAATAGTTTACACACTCCTGGACTTATATGTACTTCCTTAGAATTGATTTTGAACGCAAATATGTATGTACAATTAATTAGTTATTTGATTCAGTAACCACTTATTCGAAATAATACAAACAAAATTTAAATAATTTTTGAGAAACCCGAAAACATATTTATTTACCAAAAAAAAAAAAAAAAAAAAAAACATGATTGCATCAACTTCAATTAAAGCATTATAAACAAGTTCATGAAATTTTTTCTAAAGAGTAAATGTTATCACAATAAATACGCAGGATTTGTTAGATCGTTTAAACTGGAAAATAATTGCTCATTTCCAAAATTCAAGCAAATAATCAGGATTTATTGTGTGGAAACCCTCCACTTAATGTCGAGGGCATGTCATCTGGCTTCCACTTCCCACCTTGCTTTCCTCAACAAAATTGTAAGAAACTTCTCTGCCTAGAATTTGATTTTCTTCTCCATAACAAATAAATCCCACTTGGTATGCTAAACATTTGTGGAAAGATTTGGTCACACTATGCAATATGGATTCAACACTTTTTCGAATAGACAATGTCACTTCATGGAGCATTGTCATTTGAGAGTTGGGCTGAAATATTTGAAGCTGGATTGTAGATGGAGTTACTGTGATGACAATATTATGACCCTTGTGATTGAACATGGCAGCGTCTTTGTACAAACTACGGATGCCGTCACTTTCCAGAACATTCCAATTTTCGATTTGCATCAATGCTACGACTATACGATAAAAGAAGAAATACGGCAAGAAGTCGAACAAGTATACAAGGACAGAGGACTTTGAATTGGACCTCTTACATGTAATTATCTCTTTCTGTGTTTCTCCAAAGTCCCTCTTATTCATAGAAGGAACATAATGTGTCTGGTCTTCACTAGAAATCAAACCCAATCTCTGCATGTACAACAATAATTCTTCTTTGTGGTACAGTAGAAAACGAGGATCTTCAGCAAGTTTAGCATTCTTTGATGAAGTTTTAGTTCCCAAAAGTCTTTCGTCTTCCCCATTCCATATGTCACTGAGAAGGGAGTCTTTTAAATTTCCTGTTTTGTAAAATTCCTCCCAATCCTGTCTACAGGCAACGATTCCCTTTACATGATTCCTGTCTGTGATTATATATTTAAAGGCATTAACAAACCACTGGACATCAATTATCACTGTTTTGCTAAGATGTTCTTCATTGAAATGAAGAATTTTCCCAGCATCATGATGGTATCTTAACATGTCTTTTGCCAGATTTAGAATTTGTTTTTCATCTTCATGATGCATAAAAACCTTTTCTATAATATCAAATTCCAACACACGCTTATTCTTCTCTTTCTGAATCTTTTCATCAAAAAACACCCATTCATCGGGAATTTGTTCACTCCATTTTTCCTCCGCAGCTATCTGCACAAGAAATTCTTCAAGGTCCTTGATAGGGGCTATAGGAAATTCTGTGCAGAAGCATCTATCTTCTATGATGTACTGGACAAGGTCTGAATTTACAGGCAATACAGTCTGCAGACCATCGAGAAAGGTAGCTTTGTCCTGCAAAAATACATTGGACCGTGAGCATACGAGGGTCGTTCAATAAATAATGCAACAAATAATATATCATAGTAAACGCATACCTATTTATTTTTATTATTTCACATTTGAAACGTTCAATTAAAGAGCTTCTAACCACAGAAAACTCCATGATTTTTCCTTCTTTCTTCCCAAATAAATTCACTTTTAAAGTATGCATGGTCACTATACTGAGCTGAAAACTGTTTAAAATGATCTCTGCCAAGAAGATGATAATGAGAGCGTATGTGAAAAATGTGCTTCTTTACATAAATCAGATTGATTCAGAAATTCAAAAGTAAAAAAAGAGAGTTAAAATATAAATGTCAAATTGGTCGATTGAAATTTGTAGGGACACCAAAAATCATCGACGCAATGTGCAACATGATATCTGAAATGTCAGATTTACATCCAAAAACATTGCTAGAACACTAAGCATTTCATCGTCGTAACATTTTATAGAATTATGACAACGGAAACGAATAGAATAATATATCTATTAGATATTTGCCGTATTTTCTTAAACTTGCCTTAAAATTCGCATTAAATATTTTAACATAATAGAAGACTTGTTAAATTGCGTGATGGATGACGAAACATGGGTTCACTTTTGATAGCCAAAAAGGAAGATCAATAATAAAATGTGGAATCAAAGCTTAAAGAAAAAGCTATCGTTCTTATTATTGTAAAGAGAAATAAATGCTCCATGGACTTTTTATTAGTTTTCAATTTTTTTTTTCAAGAGATTCAGTAAAACAAGTTGTTAAACCCAAAGAAAGGACCATCAATGGTAACTTTTATGTTCAAATTGCACTGAGGAAAGATAAACAGATTTCCTGCAAAGGAAGTCCAAATGCCCCCTCCAGGGTAATTTTCTTGCACCTGGCAACGCTGCTGCCAATAAGCACAGAGAAATAAATGAATTGCAAAAGAAAAGATAGTTTACAGAGTTTTGTCATCCTCCATATTCGCTACATCTCAGCCATTGTGAGGTCTTTTCATTCTAAAAATGCATGAAAACAATCAAAGGAAGATTGTGCAATATTACATATGTCATTGAAAGTGATACTCATCAGTGTCTTTTGGTCTTCCCTAAAGATGGGTATGCTGAGGTTTTCTGGTCATGGGTACAAAGACTTAAGGCATATGTAAAGGATAACAGGGAATGCTTTGAGTGATTGAAAATGTTCAGAATATGTATTACGCACTTTTCTTACTTTTAGATGACCTATTGCATTATTTATTGAACGACCCTCGTAAATAAATGTAACTTTGTTGTAATTGTTTAATCTTACTGTGGTTATGATAGCTAGTATCAAATCAAATTACACACGTCTTCTTGAAAAAAGACACTAACATGTTAATTACTTTACCCAGCTGTTAAACTAGAAGGCCAATGATAAGGAGACAGAGTTGGAATACTATTGTTAATTTTCTTTAACTTTGCAGTATAAGAGACGAAAATAAATTTCAGTTTAAATGCTGGAACATTTCATTAAAACTTGAGAAATTATAGACAAAAGTATTGAAATTGAAATTAAAAGTAAAAGGTATGATATACAGATTCAATTACTCTGCTGTATAGTGTTTTAATGCATGAAATTACATTCGTAAATAAAATCACGTTAAGATTTTTCTAAAGTCACAACCTGAATCTTTGAAAAATTAAGCTTTCAATTTGTGTTTCAAAGATGCATTCAGGCCTCTAAGCGACCTCTAAAATTTAGACGCCAGCTGGCTCCCAGTCAGAAAAAAATAGTAACCACTGCAAATTTTTAGTCGCCAGACTTATTTGTTTTAGGCGCCAACTTTTAGATCTGATATTAGCCAATATACAGACCCATTGTGTTAGTCACGGAGAGGGGAGATTGCAATCGTAAAGAAAAAAAATAGCCAGTTAAATGCCAAAAGGTTGAACTTAGCATGCAGGTAAAACTCCATCATCTCAAGCCACAGTCCAGAGTCCGGATACAGTTCTCTCCTATCGACAAGGAAGGGAGAGGATCGTACATTTTGGCCGTGGTTTGAGACGGTGGTACATATCGCAGCTATGTTAAGGCTTCCCGACGCTTTAAAATGCGCTCAAAACATAATATGTCATTGCGAAGTCGGTTTTGGTTTTAATTTATAAGTATTGAACCTTAGTACTTCCAATTTATATAAAGGGTTTCCTCGGCTATCTATTAGCATATTTGTTATGATATCACATGAGTTTGTTGATCACGTGACGATCATTTATAATTTTTTGAAGTGTTTCATATAAATCGCTTCGGCGCAGCTGATTAACACAATAATTATTAACATTTTGTTATATAAATAAACTCATCGTATCCTTGTGTATCCGAAATGTGCTTGGGAAAAGTCATAGTATTACTTGGGTACAAAATATTTCCTGAGAAATTCAACTTACCTACAAATTTGAGGGTATTTTCCACACAATATCGTAATCTGTATTAAAACAAAGCCAACGCACATTTTTCCCAAGCAAGATTCAATTAGCGAACAACCTCTTCTTACAGATTTCCACAAAAATTCTCAGATTAATCCTCCTTAATCACCTGCGCCAGACTCTTTTATGCACACAAAATAAATTCTACCTCCATCCACGGGTATAAAACAGAGTACATTTCAAAAGTATATTTTTCATAAGCATTTTGAACATGATGAATTTAAATCAAGGGTAGGTAACCGGTGCATTTTTAAAATATTCGGACATATAAGACTTAAAAAACCTTTAACGACCCGTGAATTTTGCAATAGCTATCTAGCATTTTACATGCAGTTTGAAATAAAGTGTAAAGTTCATGACACTTTCCCCGTCATAACACCTCAAGTTTGCAGTGACCTGACGTCATTTTCCATTATGACGTCATATTTCGGTAGTTTAGAGATGTGAAGGCACTGAGTGCACTGTCATATTCTACGGGAAGCCTTAACCTACCTGTGATATTTATATTCAAAAAGTTTTAATCGATTATTTCTTTTTCCAACAAATGGTTCTCTTGAAACATAAAAATACTCAAATACTGCGTTCTATAATTGCCGAATTTCTTATGCCAACAATAACCTGGGACTGTTTTTGTCTTATCTAGTTTACCTGACCTCTGTGAGCACTAATGCGTTGCAAAATTTTCTTCGCACGTGCTGACTAAGAAAAACACACAACGTAACAAAGAAAATACAAGACATCTATTCCTTTCTTTTGAAAAAAGAAAATGTTATAATTTTGGAAATTGACGATCGCCTAGTCAATCTAAAATGGTCGCAGGTTTGGCGACTTATAAAGAAATTTTAGGTGCCAGTCACATATTTTAGGCGTCATGGCGACTACACTAGTCGCCAACTAGAGCCCTGCCGCATATCTTTATCCATATCTTTAGCGCAACTCTTTTACATTTCTAGAAATACCATAAACCGGCATCCTTAATTGAATAGAGATCAGTTTCTGTATGCCCTTTGAAGTTTTACGCACATTTTCATCTGCTGTTTTCTTGAAGTTTTACTGTGGATTTAAATTTTCCCGCCAAACAATAGATCACAGCATGATGTGCTTTCCATATTTTATTATATTTATATACTGAGAGGAAAAAGAAACGCATAGGTTCACTTTATGCATAAAATGGCCCTGTAGATATACCAATTTATTGAGTAACACCTTATGTTCCATTTCAAACATCAAGATAAAGTAGAGACCTAGTGCTTTCTTTTCCTTAAAGTCCAGATCTTTGAAGAAAAGCTTTATGGAATTGCAATGTTCTTGAATTTTAAGAAAAACAGATATATATATATATATATATATATATATATATATATATATATATATATATATATATATATATATATATATATATATATATATATATAAGTACTTTCAAAGAAGAAAAATAGTATGAGCGCACCCTCTGATCTAAAAAAATAAAACATGTTTTGTAATCCTCAGAAACGGTTCTATCAGTAAATAATTGCATATTTTAGATTGCGCTCTATATTAAATATCGAAAAATAGCTTTAAAATTTGGCTGTTTTTGTAAAATTGTTCAGATATGAGGAAAATACACATTTCATGACGTCATAATGCATTGACTAGTGAGAAAATTACGTCATTTTTGGTAGATTCTAAATCGCCAAAGGTCTATAAATGAAATTTAATGCATTGTCAACTAAAACTAAGCAGTTTCAGTTTTTCAGAAATTCACAGGGCCAAAAAAGGCCCTAAGTGAACCTTGTTCTTTTTGAAGTGAACGCGAGCATTTATTTCGAACGTATTTTCCAACGCTGTTATCAATAATTTAAATTCATCTTTAATTTAATTCAAGTTACCAAAATCCTATGTGATTTTGACTGATAATTCATGAGTTATTGAAATTCATATGACGGTAGACTCCAAAAGTGAAAATAAAAATTCTTATCATCTTCCTTGCGCATCTGTAACAGCCTTGATTCCCCTGTGCATGGAGTTTACCAGTGCATTTATCTTTCTCATAGGGATATCATTCAACTCTTCCGATAGGGTAGCCTTAAGTTGATCCAGAGTAGTTGGAACATTCTAAAGCCTTCAAATCTTACAGCCCAGTTAATCCCACAGATTTTCCATTGAGGAAAAAAGGATAAAATTTACAGAATCCAGCTGATTTGGTAAATGTGAATGTTTTTAAGAACGTCTTGACAAACACTGGCTACATTTTACCGGGATGAACATGCTAAAAAATCTGGCATACGCCGCATACGTGAAGTTGCCTAGCTCACGGACCAAAATAGAGCAATGGATTTTCTGTCAGTTTTAGGGTGAATGTTACGATTATGATTGCATACTGTATTAATATCGGTTTCAGTGGTAATGCATTGGCAATAACACATGAAGAAAATCCCTATTTTGATGTGACGTTGATACGCGCCAACGTTAATGTCACGGTTGAAACCTTTCAAGTTTCTCTCTGACAACTGAAAAATGGTCTTTGGTTGAAAAGTTAAAAACAAACTGATAACAACTATGTTTTTGCCTTTTTATTCACTTATACTGCCAATGAAACTTCCGTCAGCAATACCATGATTGAAATTCATACTGACTGCAAATATGTAAAAACGATGTCTATACCTTGGATGAGTCAGTTGGTACTACAAAAGGTGATCACAAAACTGTTATCATCAATATGCACATATTTTTGGCTTTTTAACCTACGTGACGTCATAATTTCACGGTTGAGTAGTTTTGAACACTGATTTAAGTGCACAGTAGCCAAAATACAGCTCTGACCAGTTTTCATAATTTTCAGCCACACAGTCTTAAATATTTCGCATATTATGTTCTCATGCGTTTCTTTTTCCTTTCAGTATATTACCATGATATACGATAATCAGATTTCTTTTGTTTTTATATTAACGCTGACAAGTGATCGAGATTTGCAGTAATGTATTTTTTGCTTATCTATCATAAACCTTCACAAATATATTTGAAACAAGAAGAAGATAATAGATTGTAACAAAATTAAGTATATATATATATTTTTCAAAACAGAAAAAATTGCACTTTTTTTATCCCCTTTTTAAGTGATTTTGGAATAACAAATTGCTGGTAGCTGTATACCTTGTAAACACGTTTGTCCCAGTGTGTTGCTACGAGTATAATAATAACATCACTGTCTCTGTCAATTCTTGAATTCCCATAACAGTAAGTGTGGATTGATTTCATCCAAAATAGAAAGTAATCTGAAAAGATAAAAAAATGAATTCTGTAGGTCTTACGGAAGTCAACAAAGCCATCTCTTACAATTTTAGAATATCAAAGAAAAGGGTAAGCTATAATTATTTATCAAAAATATTATGAAGGTTAAGATTTTCTTTTTATCATAATTATTGGTCCTTATGTAAATGTAGCCTAAATAACATAAGCCAAATAATTTATTGGGTAATAAATATCACATCAAATTATGTAGAGGCAAATAATTATCAATTAATAAAAAAAAAAAAAAAACAGCTATCGATTCTGAGGATTTTTTACGAAAAAAATACATACCTTTGTATTTCCAGTTTGCAAATACGGTGTCCATCTGGTCACAAACGTCCTTCTCTACCAGGTGTTCAAGGTCTTTAGATGCATCAATCACCACTATATAAAAAGCTCTCCTGGTCAGGTAAATCTGGTGACAGGCGTAGTACGCACACTGTCCTCCAAAATCAAAGAAGCTCAGTGTTTTCTTGACACCCTTATCAGGTATTGCTTCACTTCCGTCTTTGTTTGTTTCCCTGACTTATAAACAAAACAAGTGTGTTTCAAATGGCGTGATATAAATTAATTGATCTATGTTAACATACATTAACTTTGCAATTTATGTTGGAAGACATCAGAAGTGGTCTAAAATGTCAACAACAAATTATAGAAGCTACCATGAGCAAAACCCTCGATTCATGCAATACCATTCTAACATATAAATAAATTAGTCAAAATGTTAATAGACATAGCTTCAATGGCCATTTATAACAACTTGAATTCACAAGATGATGTAACACAATTGATATCTACCTTAAGTGTAGTAGTGTATTAGTACATTTATGAATCATAAATAAATAGACAAGCAAGTGTTAGTAGGGCATAATATCCGTATGCTTGTCCGAAAGAATCTGCATTAGTGCACTTCTGAATTAATGTAGATGGATAGACAAACAAGTGTTTATAGATGTAGCAGGTCATATCTTTGACTAGATTGTGAAATAAGTTTTTTATATACATGTAATTCCATGTAGAAGAATATAAACATTCATCTTAAAATGAATGAACAATTTCCTTCCATACCTAAGGAAACTTGATAAAACAGATAAACAAATTCTTTATTCTGGATGGAGAACAATGAACATCAATTATAAGGAGTGAATTGCTAATTAAATTGTACTTTAAGTAAGTACAAGCACTTATTTGGACATATTAGATTTCCTGCTTTATCAAAGAAAAGGACAAACATATACATTTTTTCTGGATAAGACGCTCAATCAACAGAATATTTAACTTTCTTTTAATGTTACGTACATGAATCAAGAAAGTTTGTTTACCTCGGACAAGAAACCTAAATATGGGACCAGCATTTTTCGTATAAAAGGGGGAACCGGTAGAAACCAAAATACCGCAAAGTGAGAGACCAGGAGACTCTTAATCTGGAGTTTGTCTCCATTCTCCCGACATTCCTCGCCTGAAGTGGTCTATGCCGTCTTCAGATAAGTTTTGCTAAAAGAATAACTTTTTAATTTATTGAGCAGCCTTTAAATTCAATTTTCTATGTAAACAATTATTTTTTCTTTGAAATGTTAAAAATTTATACGATCACTTTAAATTCTATTGTTGACGTTTATGTTAAGTTAATAAAATAATTAGAGTTTATGATCTTGCTTGGATTCTAACTGTATTCTGTTACATTGTCTAGGCATGATGCTAAAATGACAATATGAAGTTTTACAGTTCATGCAGGCGTTAATACATAAACGCATTTGAGTAAAACTTTACTCCTTATTCTGCAGCTCACATCTTAGTTCGGTATTAGTCAGCCAAAACATTTTGAATTTGTACTGTTCAAATATGTGAAATAAAAGTGGTGAGTTCTAAGTTTTCACATTTCACTTAAACTTTTTAAAATTGTGCTTTAATAATGCATTTCATTTTTTCTTCTTTAAATACAGTATCTGTCGATTGTATTAAACATACATATGGCACTTATACTTATGTACATGTACATACATAAATGCCATCACATAAGGCACGAAAAGCTGATTTTACCTCCTAAAAATGCTGATTAATTTATCAATAAATTGTGCTTGTCTTAGCTTTTATCTTACTGAAAGCGGAATAAGAGCACCCCTAGTATAATATGTATATGCAACAGTTATCAAAAATAATGTTGCTGAAATGGAAAGAGAAAAGGCAATTTATGAAATGGGTATATTTTTATTCTTACCAGAGCGTAAAAAAGGGGACGACATATATAAGTACATACTTCTGCATCTACATAAACTGCTGGATTTTGAAAAAAAAATTCTTCCTGAGTGTAATTAATCTCTCAGCAGAAATTATCAAATATACCTGATTGGAATTGTTCCGTCAGCAGTGGTAGAAATTAAATTTCCCGCGCATGCGCGGAATTTTATCTCGTAATATACAAGTAAGCACGTTGCAGGCCTTTTAATTTTAGTCTTAGTAGTATGAATAGAGAGCTTGTCTTTGTCAGATTACATTTACATATGAAAACAAAAAATCATAATTACTAGTACTATAAATTGGAAATAGAATTTGGATAAAATGAATGAAGTATCTGCTCAAGTAGTTGTACGACAATGCAATTTTTTGCCTAACATTTTAAAGTTTCTAGAGACTGAGACAGGTTTATGTGATGTGGTAGTTTGTTTCATATGTGTACATATGAGCACGGAAAAAAGAATTTGAATATGTTTGTACAGAATATTGGAAAGCTTAAAGAGAACATAGTTTTATTCAGATTGCAGATTATAAGAAAAGAAAAGTGAAATTCAAATGTTTAACAAAGATATTCGGGAATTATACCATTAATTATTTTGAATAATATACAATAATGGACTCTTTCGGTGGTGAATATGGTTTGTCATTCACCAGAAAAATATCAATATGGACCGAGGCGAAGCTTTATTATATAGTCCGGATTTGAATAAATAAGACATTGAATGCTGCTGATGATACCACTTCCATTTACGAACTTCTGTCGTAGAAAAATAAAAAAAAATGTCCAGATTACAAGTTATAACTTCCGTGTTTTTCTTTTGCTGTTTGTAAGACATCGTAATGTTTAGAAAATAACCCTGCGATAGGCTTGGCTAAGAGTTTTCCTTCTCAGAATCACAGCTGGCTCCGGCCGTTGCAACCATTGTTTACAATGTTGTTTGAGGTGTTGATTGTGACGTCACAATGAAGCTGCACGAGCACCACCCTCCGGTGAATACGGCTTCAAAACCAGTGAATATGTAGTGTTATGAACTGTTTGCGTTTGTATAGATTATATAGAGACTATAAATAGACTATATAATAATGATTTTTATTTGTATAGACCAATAAGCTCAACCAGCAAATTTTTCAGACGATAGATTAGAAGAAGAATCTAGACTTACATCTAGAATAATCCGGGCGGCCCCCTTTGTAAATATTAAAGAAGATGGGTTCACAAGGCGGGTGAAGTGCCTATAGGTCTACAAACATGAAGTGAAAAATGAAATCTCAATTATATCAAAATTTTCTTTGATATTCATCTTACATTAAAGTATACTTTATGTAAAATCTCTACAATTTACAACAATCTCACAAAGACTGAAATTATTTGCCTATGAAATAGATACACACACTAAAGAGGACACAAAGGATCATTTTCTCATACTTCAACAAAAATTTTTGATATGAGTGGGTCTTTGCTCCATTGTTTGAAAGTTAATTCTAAAAGTTTGCATAAAAATATACATTTTTTGGTTGACAAAAATATCGAGCAAAGACTCACTATACCTCAAAAGTACACTTTTATGACAAAGCATTCGCATCTTTCCGAGTACTTGAAGTCCATTATTCACAAACATGATTTAAATGCCACTATTCATCAGGAGCTGTGTAGCTTAGTGGTTAGCGTGTTAGTTTCATAGCAATATGATACTCCGGATTTTTATTTCTAGAGTCCGAATCCCGCGAATACCACTTTATTTTTTAATAAAAGAATACTTTTTCCCGAGATTTTTTTTCTCAGAAAAGTTTTGTGTATCATAATTTAATAAATTTCAACAATGAGAACTTTACCTTAAGTGCTTAATTCACAAATTGAATATGATTTTTTAATATATGAAGCTATAACAAGATGAAACACTTCCTTTTAGCTTGGCTTTGTGGTGGATTATAGGTCGTTAATGATGGCTTCATGATTGTCTTTAAGACACCATTAAGCACCTCTAAGCTATCTTTAAGTAATAAATACACAACTATTAAGTTACCATTAAGCCATTTCAAAGTCCTTAATGGGTGCTTAAAGGTAGCTTAATGGTGGCTTATAGGTGCTTAATGGTAGCTTCTAGACAGTCACCATTAAGCCACTATAAGCCAAACTTATAAGTGCTTAATGTCCAAACTCCATTAAGCTACCATTACACTACCTTCAAGCCACATAACGTCACCATTACGCAGTCGATAAAGATGGTTTTATGGGTAAAATATTATTTTTATAATGATTTCATCTCGCAAATAAAAAATGTCAAGTTTACACATTTGTTAATTTGGCAAAAATGATGTAAAAGAAAGAAAAGTTTAAAAAAAGAGAAAAAAAAGAAAGAAAAGAAACTCTCCCGACAGGATTCGATCCCACGACCTTCGGACTGTAAGGTGAACGCTTTAACCACTGAGCTATTGGGGTTGTTGAATTATGAAGGAAATATAAAGCCTTTATTTTTAACAGAATTTGTTTGGACTGGTATATGTATTTTTTTTATGTTTATATTTATTAAAAAATATTATTAATAATTATACTTATATTTAAAATAAAGCTTTTATATTACATTAATTTTTTGATTTAAGTAATGAAATACCTCGCTCTGTTATTTGCAGTTTTATAAGCAGGAAAAGATTGAAATTCAACCTGTCAGATATAACACAATTTTATTATTAAAAAGGAATAAATCCTCGAAAGAAAAAGATGGGAAAAAACAGATTTTAGTTCTTATAAATATGCTGCGGATACTTACGGTTTTTTGTGTGCTGAATAATTGACAATCTTTACATCACAATTAAGTTCATGACATTTTTTTTTTACATGTCGTCTTCAGTTTTAATTCTTTTTATATCATAATGGGTATCAAAATAATTGTCGTTTTGCCTACAATCATAATTTATAATTTGTTATATGGTTCTTAATTTGAAGCCCTTTACCGGTATATGGTGACTTCTCTGTATGAGTGAGAAATTCTCGATACAATAGACAATCAATCAATTAAAAAAAATAACAATTCATTACAAAAAAGGACCTATCAAATTTATTTTTGGTTAAATTGAGATTTAACGTATAGTTGCTAATTCTTTGATTGTTAGCTATTTCCGTACATGAATTATGGAGATAACGAACGGAATTCAAGCACATAATTCCAGTCAAATAATACAAATCAGAAGAATAGCAAACACTGACCTCTTAAACATCAGGGGTTGGATCAGGTGCCATGGAGGAGTGAGAACCCCCTGCCGACAGATCACACCGCAGTGTGCTCCTTGTC